TATGAAAGAAAATAGTTTGTCTGTGTCAGGGTCAAAAAAAACATCAAAGATTAAAGATCCAAGTTTGACCAAAGGTTTTCGGGATCGAGGAATCTATTGTCATCATTAGTTTTTCGAAATTTTTTTCAGATGACTTTTTTTTGCTAAAAAAGGCCTTTTTTGAGAAAAAAATGATTTGTTATAAAGTTTGACCAAAGGTTTTTGGGGTTGAGGAATCGATTGGCATCTATTTGCATGTACTGTTTTCAATATCCAGCCCACATCCAACAGCTATTCTTGCCATCCTGCTTTTATACTTGGTGCTGTCAGCTACTAGCTGTGAGTGGCGTTCCATTGAATGGCCAACAAACGGCTAATCAGTGGTTCGCGAGTTTCAAGGATGGTTGTTCCAGAGGAGATTCGTAGGAAATCGCGCATGTATTTCGAGAAAAGTTGATTAAGGTTTCATCATTCGGGAAATTCAATATAAAGCAAATTTTTAGAAAGATCGCGAAATTGAAGTTCTAACGAATAGTTCACAACAAACCCTGATCATCGGTACCCTTCGTGATAATTATTTTCTTATGATTAGGAGTCATTCTATTAAAAGTTCGCTATTTCTGCAGATCGGAAGCCTATTCGGTTCAATCGTAACACAACTAGACGATTAGTTGGAAAACAAGATAGGACTTGGGAGCCGGTTAGTCGCTCGTCAGCGCCCCTCCGGGGCGCAACTCGCGACTGGCTGTTTATTTATGAAGCTGATATGAGCCCTCCTTGCGTAAAGGTTTTAACAAATATGGAATCTTTTTCGAAAGAGCCAAGGCAATTGTCGCCCAGGCTAGGGGTGTCTTGTAAATAACATTGTGGGCAGATGTGTTAGTAAGCATACGGATTTTTAGTGGAATTTTCAAAGAGTGTGGCGCGTTTTCACAATAGTGTCGCAAATGCGTTTCGCTTCGTGACCTCTCAGAGAATTAAATATAATCTCTTTTTTCGGATGCGTGCGAATATTGCTGCCTTTATGCAGTTCTTTAGATTTCTGTTGAGTATCAATGTGTGGGTGTCAATTTAATTTGATGAACTTATGACAAAAATGATCATACGGACCTGTATACCAATGTGCATAATGAAATTGACGCTAATATCAACGTACACACACCTACCCACCCTTTCAAAACGTTGGATACTAGCTTTATTGAAGACTGTAAAGCAGTATATAACACCAAAGAAGCCGAATATTCAGTCGAGGGTCAAGCGAGTCACACGGACGAGCGTTACTTGTATTTAACTATACATTTTGTAGAGAAATGCTTGTCATTTTTGTCACTATGCTTGGAAATATTTTATCGATTATCGTTATCAATTAATTTAACCAAATACCATGAGTGGTGCCAAACCAGTTTCCATCCATCTTAATTCCATTTTTGTCCAGGCACCATTAGAAAAGCTTGAATTTTATTAAATGCATTTTGCTAAATAGATTTTATTTATTTAAATTATCCGTATAATGTTTTCATTATCGATGTTACAAAAACTATAAAAAAACTAGATGAAAATCTTATTGATAAACCAGCTGATGTTTTATCGATAAATTTTTCCAAGTTAAAATCAATTAAACTATTTTGATAAATTAAATCTCCAACATCAAGTGTATTGCAATTAGCTCGTTGACAAGCTATATACCAATTAGGTGAACGAGTTCGATCATTTATATCGAATTCTACACGCTGATTTACCGTGTTTAATGAAGTTTGTAACGAATAACATGATGCCTCTATAACTTTCTTTTTTGGTGTCATGTTTACTATAGTCATACATTGTTTACATGTCGGTGGATCACTCTTTTTTAGTGAAAACATCTGATATTGAGTTGTATTAGAAAAAAAAAGACATTGTTTTCCATCAAATGCTTCATCTTTTCCGAGAAGATATTGAAGTTGTTCTAATTTATTAACAAATTTGAATGATTCTAATAAACTTTTCAATCTTGCTGGACTATTACATTGATCAGTTAAACATCTATAAATTATAATATTAGACTAACTTGGTTGTGAGTCAAAATAACTAAAAGAAACTGTAGCCTGTAAATCATGACCCAAAACATCTGCTTTCCAATATTGAAAACCATATACCATAAGTGTAGTTATGGAATTTCGTTCCCATTTCACTTGCATATAACAATTTGATTGCTCAGTCACAATTGTGCAGTTTTTAAATTCTGTCGGAACTGTTTCAGCTGTAAGTTTATAATCCAAAACAACTTCAGAACAATCATAACATGATAAATCACATAAAACTTTATTAAACAATACGAATATAATGAATATATAAATACTCATTGTTGATAAAAAAAATATTTTAAAAGTAATTTACGAATATAGTATCATTTCTCTACCTCTTCATATATAGATGCGCAAGATGCAAGAGACTGCCTTTTTTTCTCCGGCAATCTATGCCAAAGAAAAAGAACGTGACGTTATTGCTATGGCTGTTATCGCGGTAAACAATAACACACGGTATTACTGACGTTGTGCTGAACACTTAAATTACAATTCTGGTGTATTTTCTAAAAAATGCGCTGTCGTAATGAATAATCCTTACATTTTCTGATGACTGTTATTATGCAAATTCGCTATTTTGACATATAAATATATGAGATAAACATTTACAATAGTTTTCTTTTATTAAAGTTAATGAAAAACACACATGCAGAAGCGAGTAATAATCAGATTTATTTTCCTGACATCAATAACAAAATCATCGAACATCCTAAAATCAGTTTTGTATTCATTATACTTTAGCAGCGTGCCAAACTTGTTGTTAATGATGTTTAAAAAATTGATATTATCATGTTTAAAGATCTATCAATATAATATGGTTGATAAAGTCTATTTAGAGGGTGTGGGTGTGGGTTTCAGTCTCCTCATGCACACCTACCACTCACAGCCACAGAAACGCCCCCAACCAAAGCCACACTCATCCACACCCTAGCCGGTACACTTCTTGTAAGTATTCTTTTGTCTTTAGCATATTTGTCTGATGTTTGACATATTTTATTTCAGATCTTGACAATTATCTTTTCCTTCAAATTCGCTAAATTTATCAAAATACCAGAAACTCTTGAAATCGTTTAAAACTACAATAATTCAAATATTGATCATGAACAATTTGTGTTTATTTCCTTACATTAAAAATTCTTATTTTGAGTTTATCAGTAGTTACAAAAATAACTATTAATTATGGAAGATAAATATAAATAAAATTTACTATACGCACCGGTACTTCATAAAAAGTTCGATTACCAATATTATCAAACTTTCTCTTCTCTAGCGTTTTTGATAGCACAATTTCTAGTTTTTCAATGAATACTGCTTTTATTATAATATGATTTTAGTCTAAAATCTCTGTTAGCTTGCACTAATTTTGTATGAAGTGAGAAAGAAATCCAGTCAAGTTAAAATATATTATAAATAGTTTTGAAAAAATATTAAAATCATTGGAAGTCTTGTAAGACACAAATGTGTAGTTTCAAGATTAACAGATCCCTATAAATTCGTGCTATTCGAAATCTATTTATATTTTAATTGTTATATCCGAAGATAGTTACCTTGATAAAAGAAGTTAAACAGAAAAAAAGAAGAATCAAATGAATAAACAAATGATCCATGGCATATGAGGTATATAAAAGTCAAAATTTGAATAAGAATGAATACCGAAATATTATTATATCTAATTTTTTGTTTTAATCTAAATATATATTTGAAAGTTAAGAATAATATTATAATTAAAAAAGCAATTACATAGTTTTTAATCAATATAAATTATAATATTAAATATTTAATCCGAAAAAAAAATAAAAATTATTTATGTCTGTCAACAAGTTTTGCCAAATATTCACTTTCTGTTAGAGATCCTGTAAAACGTTTAAATAATAAGTCTTTATTAAAATAATTAGCTAATCCTGGTCGTTCTTTCATAATTTGTTCAAGTTTCATCAATTCTTGACAATCTTCTTCGTTCGGTATTAATTTATGATGATAATCACGTGCTATTGTAAATGCTTCAAAAACAAAATAATCAGCAATAGTTGGTTCTAATTGATCATAATAAAATGATGTTGAACTTTTTTTAAGTAAATTATTTAATAATTTTAACACATTTGAAATATTTTTTTGTTAAACGATACATTAGATTATTTTCATCACTAAAATCTACCATAGATCCTATACATAGAAAACTATTTAATATAACATCAGTATATGCACATGAAACAACACCATCAATATAACCATGTAAAAGATCTTGATCAACAATGGATGATGTTAATTTACCGTATAAATTAAATTTTCTTGCTAATAATTGTCCTATAAAAAGGAAAATAGAAAGAATTTTATTTTTAATTATTGAAAC